TTTTTGCGATTGTAGCAAATTCGATTAATCGATCGTACGATTGTTTTTGTATCACAAATAATTGAACAAAAGAGTTTAGGTCATCGCACACAAAATGATATAAATGCGTATGTATAGCATAACTGTCTCGACCAATAAGCATCTAGCATAAAGGCGCCAGGCGCCATAGATCACTCATTTAGATGTTCACTCTCATTGGTCGAGACGATCTTATGCTATTCATATGCACATATGTCATTTTGTGTGCGATGGCCCTTTCATTTTCGGTTGATCTAGAGAAACAAGTTTTCGGAATCATACCATCTTTAATCATTTTCGGTTTGTCGTTTGTCTCGTCCGTTGTTTTTCTTGACCAAATAACTAAACTGGTAAGTGATTTATCCGCAATATAAATTATTTATTAAATCGTTAATGTAAATGAATGTAAGCAATGCTCATATAAACATGAATATTCCTTGCGTAGTCGATGAGTGACAAATGAAAACATGCACACTTTTCAGTCTCCATGATATGACAATTTGATGGAAATTACTTGATTTTAGACAACAAGGAGAAATTACAACTCTTGCAACGTATATTGAATTTGGTTGTATAACCAAATTTGATTGTATATCGAAAGCATGCAGGTTCCACCGTCCACTGTGCACATGTCTCTCGACGACGTCGACTAGTGAGTGTAGACTTACCAGCGTGAAATATTTTAATTGCGCAATCATTTTAATAATCTCACTGCTATCGTTGTTTCAGCGATGACATTATGGTCAACTCCACATTGGACGCTTTGACTCAATCTCCTTCAATTGTGGAAGTTCCGCCTCAAAAACCGACATCAACTACTGAAGCACAGATTAAGTGAGTGCAATTTTGCATGACTGTTATATATGAAGTCTACTGTCATTAACTTTTTTATTTATTTTTATTTTTACATTATTGTATTTTAGTATTATTAGTGTTAGTAGTACATATATATAGCAGTTGTAAATATTATGTATTAGGATATATATAATATATATTAAATAATATATGAAATATGTATTCTCATTTTTTTTTCATTTTCAGGAACACGATAAAACCAAAGGGAAGTAACATGTGGAAATATTTTGAAAAAATCGATAGAGAGAGCGCAAAATGCAAAACTTGCTCTAAGATCATCAGGAATGATAGAAACACCACAAATCTGAAAAATCATCTCAATAGTAAACATCCTCTGTTACTGTCGCCAGAAAAAAGAAAATTAGACAGTAATCCAGGCAATTTTCCATTTTCAAGTGATGAAAAAAAAGAGATTGCAAATCGAAAGGTATTCTTGAACTATTCTTTATTGGAAAAGTTTGTAAATTTTTTGGATGGAGACCTAAAAGCTGCTGATTTCAATAAATATTTTCTGCCTGCGAGATACTAAATTAATTTTGTTAATTATGGATGATACACGTTTTTTTATAAAAAACATTTAAACAAAAATTTATTATCTCTGACTAAGCGGAGAATATTTATTGAAACCAGCAACCTTCGTGAATTCATGGTGTCAAAACTTTTCTTAGTCTGACATACTACTTTTATATAATTTATTTTTTGATAGTCGGCAAATGTTTTGATAAAAAAATCAAGTTTTAACAAATAACAATAAATGTAACAAACTGGCATATCAGACTATCCAAAAAAGGTTTTTGACATCGCTTATTTACGAAGGTTATTTGTTTCAATATCTGCAAGTCTCATACTTTATACTTTATTCATATATTTAAATTCCAGAAACGATTGAAGATAGAAGAAAAAGAGAATATCATAACTCATTTTAGGAGAATAGACTCAATGAAAGGTAAGTTATTTTTCCCGAGAAATGATGAGAATGATCATTCATTCCGATCTAATTTTTGTATTTTTTTCTCATCACAGAGGGTGAAACAGGTGCCACACGATTAACAGAAAAGATCATGTACATGATTGTAACTGATCATCAGCCCCTTTCAATGGTCGAATCCGAGGGCTTTTCAGAATTAATAAAATTCTTAGTGCCGCATTATAAGTTGCCTTCTCGCCAAACGATTACCCGCTTGATCGACGCGAAATATAGTAATATGAAGATTGCAGTAAAGAACCAACTTGCATTAGCTCCATCCCATGCCATTACGTGTGATATTTGGACTGACTGCAAAATGCAAAGTTATCTTGGCGTCACGGATCACTATTTAACACCTACCTTTAGTTTGAATCATATCACATTGGGAACCATACCACTGGCCTCCAATCATACTGGAGATCTAATTGAAGAAAAACTGCGAGAAGTCCTGTCGATGTTCGATATTGATTTGGAAAAAGTGGTGTGTGTTACGAGCGATAGTGCGGGAAATATGAAAAAAGGTATTCTACAACTAGTTGGCAGCGAAAAACACGTGCCTTGCGTCGCACACATTCTGTCGCATATCGTGCCAGATGCACTGCAATCATTAACATATATAAATGACATTCTATCACAAGTGCGGAGTATTGTTAGAAAAGTAAAAAACAATGTCAACGCGGGCGACGAATTGAAAAAACTGCAAATGCAGAATGGATTAAGCGAAGGGCAGTGTTTACGATTTCTCTTAGATATGAAAGTTCGATGGAATTCCACATATTTCATGGCCGCCAGGTACATCGAGTTGAAAAATTACGTATACACAGTTTTGCTGAAATGCCCCGATGCTCCTGATCCATTATCTCGGGATCAAATTCAAGTTCTGGAAGATTTAGTATTAATTTTCAAACCAATTCAGAATGTGATCACAGAAATTAGTGGAGATTCATACTCGACAGGTAGCATTGCCATCCCGATAATTCGTGGCCTGAAGCTCTGCATAAGCAAATTAAAACCGAATACTAAAATGGGCAAGGATTTGATGCTTCGCATCAGCGAAGCTTTGGAAAAACGATTTAAAGAGTTGGAGTCAAATCAAGTACTCGCAGTTGCTACTATACTTGATCCTCGATTCAAAAAGCTGGCTTTTGAATCACGTCTGAAATGTGCTAATGCAATAAATAAAATTAATCGTCTCATGAACGTTGCATCGATAAAAGAAAATGTGGGGCAAACTGCAAAAAACTCCGGGCCGATAGAAAATAATGAGGATAATGACATATGGAGTTTTCACGATCACCAAAATGAAGTACAAACGTCTGGTTACGAGCCTGGGTCAAATGGTGATGAAATTCATATCGAGCTGCAACAGTACATTAATCAGCCTCGTATCCCTCGAAAAAATGATCCTCTCGGATATTGGAAAATGGTGCAAACTGCATTTCCAACTCTCTCAAAAATCGCCATATTTTATGCAAACGCAGTCACATCATCGGTACCATCCGAACGTCTCTTTTCAGAGGCTGGGATTGTTGTTACTGACAGACGTAACAGATTGACTGGTGAGAGAGTCAACATTTTACTTTTTCTTTCATCTTTGCCTAAGGAGATGTGGGATTGTGGGCCTTGAATTATTCTTTGTAAAAGAATAAAACTTTAATATTATGGGTTTGCTCACGTCGCATGTCCCAACATGCTCCTATTCGTTCCAATATAATACAATCTATAATATTACGTTATGTATACTATAGTTTGGAGCGTATTGGAGTATGCGACGCGAACAAACCCTATATAATTTTACTTATATACTGTCATATTATGATCTTATTAATATCTTTAATGTTTGAATATTTTGTGTTCTTTGTTGTATATTATATGCACTGTGATACTGTAACGTTACGAGGTTTATTCTTTTTAGCTAAACTGGCTGCACTAGTTTAGAGTTTATCTTTCTCTTTCTAATGGGGAGGAAAAAAATAAACTCTGAACTAGTGCAGTCAGTTCAGTTAAAAAGAACAGACCTACGATCTCATTAGTATCTTTAATGTTTTTATGTTTATAAATATATTTCGTATTTTTTTCTTTTAATTTACACACTCTTTGTTTCTCCATTTGTATTTTTATTTGTACGCATTGTAATCATATCCACAATTTCCCACCACGTTAATTCCCATCCTCGCTGAGTCAATATGAGCATACATGCATGTCTATGCTATAATGGTTCAGGTGATATACGTATAATTATATTTTTATTCAATTTGTGACTTGCATTAATTAATAATTATTTTCGTTTATTTTTTAGATACACGAAGAGAACATAATGCAATGCATTAATTTTTATTTTTAATATTTCTGTATTTTGTAATAAATAAAATGTTTAAAATAATTTCTTTTTTGTCTTCATTTGATTTGAAGAAGAAATCTAAAATTAATCGATTATTTTTCGATTATTTTTCCAAACAATCGATTTAAGACAATCGCTTGTTTGAAAAATCGATTGTTTAAGGATCGATTATTTTTTTCACAATCGGCCATCTCTATCCAGGACTCAGCCCGACGACGCCGAAGACGCCGAAGACGTCCACTCATTGTAAGCCGCCTCTCGGGTAGCCGTAGAGTTCCGTCCGGTGATGGCTGGTAGCGTGAGTTTGTTTTGTATGTAGTGTCTCTCACACCATTAACCGTAGTTTTTGATACTGTGAGCGCTCAATTGCGCACAATTACCGCATGTCCAGCCGGCTCCGGATATCGCGTAACAGTCTCTCCGTCTTGCGAGAATTAAGCGCCGACAGTCTCTTCTCGTTGCCGTTTCGTTTACCGTTTGTTTAGTTACCGTACCGTTCTACTGTTACCGTCTTTTTGGAAGATACCGATTGCTACCGTCTTTCTTGCGATACCGCTCCGTTACCGTTTTGTCGCGTTATCGCCGTACCGGAAGTACCGTGGGTGAATGTCCATGGGCGGATTTTGATCCGGGAACGTTCTCCGCGGGATTGCGGTTACCGTAAAGTTAGCGTCTCGGCGAGAAACGGGAAGCCCGCGAAAAATAGCCGTTCCGCGACATCTCATTTCTGGCCGTTAAGATACCGTCGTTTAAAGTCTATTTATTTGGCCTTCACTGGCCGCGTCGGATGGTCGTAAGATAAGTTATTTGTTTTGCTGGTTATTGTCGGATCGGCTGCGAATTATCGTGTTCGCGTTGCCGCGATTTCATATAGTTAGCGCACTTTATTCTTGCTACCGAATTTATTAGGCGAATGGCCTTACGACCGCATTGAACTGTTTCCGCCGTATCGGCTCAGGCCGAACGCTACACATCTTTACCTTTGTAACCAAATCACTGAAATACATCATTGTTAAATTTTAATTATTGAGTTGTTCTTGCGTTCGCCTCTCACTCCAGATATCTAACGTTAAATAAAAGAACTGCGCCCCTCTGCCATATACTGAGCGGGGAGCAGCCGAGCAATTTTAGAGAAATATCGAAGTTACCGATACCGCGGTGCAATTACTCGCATCTGGCGCCCATTTCCGGTTACCGATATCGCGTAAGTTACCTTGCTCCCGAATTTTGTGGAGTACCGCGAGTTACCGAATCGTGCAGTTATTGCCGATTTCGCGAGTTACCTTGCTCCCGACGAGCGTGGAGTACCGCGAGTTACCGAATCGAGCATCTGTTTCCGATACCGTGAGTTACCGAATCGAGCATTTATTGCCGATACCGCGAGTTACCGAGTCGTGCATTTACTGCCGACGCCGAGTAAGTGACCTAGCTCCCGAAGATCGTGGAGTACCGCGGTCACCGATTTCCATTGGGCGTGCTCCCTCGGATCTGGCGTGATTCCGAGGCTAGTTCACGTCGCACCTCTTATCTACATATTATCTTATGGTTAATCAATTTTTAAATATTTTTAATATTTATAGCTTCTACAATCATCTGCCACTTCACTCATCAGCTTTATCAGTAATTGCTCTTCTATATGTTTGCCAACTATT